GTGTTATACCTTTATAATTTAATGTTTCTCAAAGCATTGTTGATGCATTTGCGTTGATAACAGTCATGATCAAACAGTGTTTATTAAAAAGGGAAAAAAAGATGAAACTAAAAGGTTTAAGAATTGGTTATAAGAGATATGTTCAAAGGAAAATGTTTAAGAATGGGCTATAAGAAGGCTGTACAAAGGAAAATTTAACGTTTCTCGAAATAGTATCATGTTACATAAAAACAAATTGATGTCGAACTTTAAAGATATTACATATTGCGTAAACGTTTTCAGAAAAGTTATTTAAGTTTTTAGTAGATTTAATTTACACCATGTACTCGTAGATAGATAATTATTTTGGAGATCAATATTAATTGTCTCTAGACTATTTCTTAATTGCAAGAATTATTGATGAAGCAATGATATTTCTCTATTTATATTACATTTCAAAATGAGATACATTTGCTGCTTATGAACAGGTGGTCGATATGGATGTATGAAATATAACTAATACAACGCTTATATTATTTTGTCAGTAAAATTTTATATAGTTGTTACTGAACAAAAAGAAGACGTTTTGTCTGGTATTATCAAATTGAATATATGATTATTCTTTAGCCGGAGGTATACATACATGTATACATTTTAAAAAATTTTAAACATTGCATTAGAAGAAATACTTCAAGACCTATATGTGAAACTGGTGGAGTTCAGCTTGATATTTGTAATATCTTTAACGCCATGTCATGATATTTGTTATAAATATTTAAACAATAGAAATAGCTTTCCTCTAAATATTTGTTCGGTTGACGAATAATCTGTAAATTTGTTTTTTATGTGATAACATTTGTGTTTACTGTTGATAATGTTAGAAATAACATTACAGGTAAGCTTTTAAGGCCTATATATATAACATAATGTATAAAATTATATTGCTGTCATAGGTGGTAGACATAAATTGTCAATGTTATTGCTTGAGTGTTATAACAGTAATAACAATCATATTCCTTGACATAACCAAGAACAAAATGCAGAAAGAACACCTGTGTTAGACCAATTAGAGCTGCATGAGCCATATTTGTAACATCAGTACCTCATCCCTACTAAAAGGTTTATAATGAGGAATGACTTACGTACTTGTAAACATATATAGCCACGCTGGTATGGTTATACGCACGTCCCTTTGTTTTATAACGATCTCTTGACGTACAGCCTGCAAATCTTCGGTGCTTTTTGGTATCGTTATCATAGATATGGCGCGTGATGTATGAAACACATCACTTTTTCTCAAGGCGACGCTAAAGTTTATCGATAGTGTGGTTTTTTTTATTGAAGAATGCTCTAGGATAGTGTAGTTTTTTATTGAAGAATGCTCTAGGTATGTTTACTGTTAACAATTTGTCCTTTTATATTACTTGAATATTAATTAAAATAGTTACAGTGTTTCTTCCATCTCTTAAGTCATCTGATATTTAAGAAGAATATTTTGATAGAGCTTAATATATTACTAAAATGTACCTAACAAACTGGAGAAGATTTTAACATGACAGTGCTCCTCACATTAATGCATTATCTAAATGAAGACTTTTAGTTTTATACTTTTTATATCTATGTACTTTATTACAAGCTTTTCTTTCACACAGAGACACCAGTTTTTACTGCAACAAGCACCACTCCAAACACAGACTGAAAGATTAGCTTAAAAGGGCACAGTGTTAGAGAACAGCAGACGTTCCGAGGTATTATGATTAAATGCTTAAACACCCCTGTAAGTCTAAACAGCTTCTGTAATTAGATTGATAGATTGCTATAAAGACAAAATCACACAATTTTACACAGAAGCGAAGAGTGTCAAGAATCACTATCTCAAAAAAAACCGTGATCAAATATTGTTATAGACAGTATGTATATTAGGGAGTGTTTGGCTGGCAAATCGATACTTCTGACTATTCTTTCCGTCTTTATCAGAAAAATGGCTCAGAGATATACACACATTTTAAATGCGTATTGAAACTCATCTGAATTTTTATCCTTATTTCCTTTATCTTGATTAACTTATCAACTATCATGTGCTTTTATAATATTTTATTGACATGACACATTCTAATTCTTTATATTTCAGCACGCCCCAAAGTAAATGCTCATATGACAGTACTTGTAACATCTTCAATTACAACAGATAAACTTTGGGTGATGCACATCCAGGTTGCAGGAAGATAAAGGGGAACGACTTGCAAGTGGTTCGTAACGATGATGTGTACAACAATATTCAATCTCTAGGTATGTTTTTACTTAAACCTTTATTTTTTTGTTATTATCTTAAATGAACGGATTTTAAAGCTACAAGTTTCAGTCTTTTGTACAAGGTTACATGTATGTATTTACTGATAACCTGCCTTGGGAATGTATAGTTCATGCACAATCAAATTATATTTTCTATTTGTTATTCCTGATTTTTATACAAATTATTTAACAAATCATATGATATGAAAAAGTAATTAATCTTGTGTTATGGAAATGAAATACTTACTTAGATTTTATTTCTTTATCTTTAAATGAATGTAACCCTTTATTATTTTTGGATGTAATAATGGGACACTTTCCACGATAGAAACATAGATTATCTTCAGGTTTTATTTAAAATACATGTGTATACTGTTTCAAAAAGCGCTATATTCTTTAAAGGAACTCCACTAAGGTTAAATGCATAAAACACAAACTTTAAATTTCATACATAGATTTTTTTACAAAAAGAATATTCTGGAAAAATGGAGTGAGCAAATGATCTGAAAATGTCCACTAAAGTTATTTACATAGATCTACATCAAATTGAAAGTTTATGTCTAACATTTATTCCCAGTCCTGTCATGTCACAAAAAACTCATTGGACTCCCTTTAACAATGAAATAGGTATGTGCCTTTAGAAGACCTGCAGTTACTGTCACTGAGTCGCTCATTTTGAGCTGTTAAACACGCTTTTTTCCTATTTGTATCTAGAGATTACATTATTATTACATAAGCATTGTTGTTGTAGATAGTGCTCTGCCACTTTGTCCTTTATGGTTTTAAAAAAACAAAGAGTGAGTGAGTGAGTGAGTGAGTTGGTGAGTGAGTGAGTGAGTGAGTGAGTGAGTGAGTGAGTGAGTGAGTGAGTGAGTGAGTGAGTGAGTGAGTGAGTGAGTGAGTGAGTGAGTGAGTGAGTGAGTGAGTGAGTGAGTGAGTGAGTGAGTGAGTGAGTGAGTGAGTGAGTGAGTGAGTGAGTGAGTGAGTGAGTGAGTGAGTGAGTGAGTGAGTGAGTGAGTGAGTGAGTGAGTGAGTGAGTGAGTGAGTGAGTGAGTGAGTGAGTGAGGCTAAGTAGACATGTAAAGTAAAGAGAAAGTATTAACTTAAGTAAAGTTTTTATTTAATTGATATGGTTCAAATATAAAAATACCCTAACAATGCATATAAAACATCCCATTCATTGGCCCAGAGTATGCAACATATTGATAATCTATGCATATATGATATCCAAACCGAACAACATATTGAATCAAATATAAATTTACGGTACATGATTTTATTATGACTTATACATGTCCTAATTATATTACGGTACTCTGTTTCCGCAGATAAACGATAACATATACACGATCATGGTGCGGCAAACATAAAATTAAAACGAAATGTCGAGGATGATAATCTTGTTTTATGCGATTTCTGAAGGACAAAAATGCAAAACAGATTTCGTTTTGTCGTATCTTAGCACACTTGAAAGCACGAAGTTATCAAAGGCGGGAACGTGAGAAAACATCATATCAATCGGCATGCATTAAAAAGACATTGTGAAATTTAAAGACAATATTAGTTATCAAACAGTTCCATGTCCTTATATTTTCACTTTTATTGCAACGAAATGTTCACAAATAGTATACTGTGTTTCCAAATGTTCGATAAATTTAATGACATTTGTACACAAAGTTATTGCATTTCAAAACGAATTTATGCAAAAAGGTAATAAAGCTTTTATCTTTGTAAAACGATATCTAATATTATTTTTTATTCGAGATATTTTTTGTTTATTTTGCTGTACTGTTTGACAAATTACCTCTTGCTTTCATCACATTCACCTTACTGTAGGTGTTTTTTGGTAAAACTTTATATTTTATAAATGTTCAGGGATTTCATGTTATTTTCTTAAAAGGGATATACTTTCATATTTACCATTTGAATTAACTAGAGTAGAACCTGACGGCAAAAGATGATAAATGTCAAAATTCAATAATAAATACAATTAAATTTCAATTTTCTTGCGAAAATTGTTCACCAAGGTAATTCTTATTTTATGCAACACGACATTAATAACATGCAAAAATGTAAGCGACTACGAAAGTTAAAGACCGTTTGTTATCATTTGTATCAAACGGTGAGACTATGTTCATATCTATTTGCATATAAATAATGCTAAAAGCACATTTAGCAATTATGAAAAGGCGCATATGAAATACACATATTTATTAATGAATGAGACCTGAATGTTGTTTGACATAATTATGGTCCTCTTCCTAATATTTTATTTAGTTTACGTTTTTATAAAGATAAGTTATAACTCGTTATCTTAAACCACACTATACTTATCTCATAAATCAAGTTAAGGTGACAGTTTGAATTACTACTCTTAAAATATTACAACGGACCGTTTGTATACACGGCACAATATATCACTATGTTACCAGCAGCACCACAATTAAAATATTATCATTGCCGACGTTATAGAATCTGTTCCGTTCCTGACCAGTCTACTACTAGATACCTTCCTGGTGATACTGTTTTGCGGCTCCGTCCCGTGTACTTTGATCTTTCGTTTTAATAAGTGTACAAATATTTGTAAAACAAATTATCTACTTATAATATATTACAACAACTAGATATCATAATTCACTACTTATACATCTACAATATATTACTTCATCGCCAGAAGTGCATTCTGAAGCATTCTGAAGTGTTTTACAATATTGTGATTGTTACTGACTGAGCGATTTACATTATTTTAAAATAACACATGAAATAGCTAACTCATTATTGATCGATATGCGTATTTGATAAGAAAATGTCCGTAATTCGAATGTTCGTTAAACATTGCTTAATCTATTAAATGATTTACGATTTGATAAGCATATTTACTTACATTAATTTTTTTATTTTGTAAAAAATTTAGTATTTGGTTGTGCAATGGATTTTAGAGGCAGCGCTTTCTGGCTGATAGTATATATTTTGTTTTTGTCGTTTTGTGACAAATCTTCCGAAACTTCAGGTAGATATATCATATTATAATATATATCATTTTGTTCTATTCTATTTAATGTAATCTAATTTCATATCATATTACATTTAATTATTAAACAAATCAAATTCTGTTTTCTGTTTAATGTTTATCTTAAAGGTACTATAATATAATATAATATGTATTTTTTATATTGCCCAGGTTTAATTCAAAATCTTTCAACATTTCTAAAAACCATATTTCATGAAACGTTATTTTTGTCTTTATCGGACGAAATCCGTCTGTTATCAGTTTGACTTCCTATAAAATCGGCAGGGAAGGACTGAATATAAGAAGAATTTTCATAGGTCATTTTTAAATTACAGACTGTAATCGGTGAATCTCATTGGTCATTATAAAATGAAATGTAAAAGATAGTTCTTACCATTTTAAAATAAAATTTTAAGGATAGCTCTAGAATAAAATGTAAGAGATAGTTTTTGGCACTATAGAATAAACTGTGAAGATAGTTCTAAAATCAATAAATAATAAGGAATCAGGATAGTTTTTTTATTTAAACTTTTAAGATAATTTGTAAATGATTACAGAATTTATAAAGTAAAACATCAAACAAGTGAAAGAGCATCTAAAATAGAAGGCGTCTTACTTTGAAAAATCACCAATATCAATATGTTATAATTTAATTTCAATGTTTACAAAATAGGTATTTTTTAGCTACAAGAAATAATTATTATGTCATTCTAATGCAAGCATTGCTAACATTTCTTTTTTGTACTGAAAACTTAGAAATAATATAATTTTGCATGTTAATCAGTTTTACTTCGGCCGAGTATCTTTTTTTAAAGATACTTCTTGTTTGTTGTATTTTCAGATGTTGTATGTCCACGCAACACCTATCTTGCTGATAAAACGTGTTATATGTACAATACAAACAATGATTTTAACTGGCAGCAAGCCGATGACATATGCTATGGACGCGGTATGAAGCTGATGAAGGTCCGAAGTTGGAATCAGTTCCTGATTTTCCAGACATGGACAGACAAAACAGGTCCTACATTATTATAGAACATATAAGTTGTACTGTTACGTTATATTGATTTCAGAACCATTGTATATTCTAACATAAGCTTTCTTATGATTACAAATATACTTATTTACTGAAATAAGGGAATTTTGTATTATGGTCAGTATTTTAACATTTAACTTCACTCATTTTTTCGTGATGTCAGTTCCATTAAACACATTTTGAATTCAATTTTAACATTTGATAAAATTAGGTTCGAGTTTTTTTTTCAATATTTTTCCAAGGTTAAATTTGATTAAAGGGTACAGATTTTGGATTGGCGCAAAGTTACATAGCGGGTCATTTCACTGGTTGGATGGTAGCAGTTATTTTCAACCGTATTGGGTACCAGGGGAGCCAAACAATTTAAGAAATGAACATTGTGTCATGTTCTGGAAAACCGATCATGGAACTGGTTTAAATAATGAAGATTGTGGTAGCAAATTAGGATTTATTTGTGAGGCAGAAGGTAAAGTTTCGTTTTCGTGACATACAAATTACGTACTTTATTAAAATATACTTTATTTTTATTAACGGCGGTACAATACTTTCAGTAGTGAGGGTTGTTAATAGATAATTTTCGTGCTGAGGATTAAGCTCAAACCGACTCTGAAATGGCTACATGGCGACTTGTCGAGAAAGACATCAGCTTTCCGTGCTTTTTTACGAATATCAGCTGGCACATGAGTAGAACAGTCGTACTTATGTTAAAAAGTTGATACAAGATACAATGTAAAAGTTTAAAGCCGTAGTGAG